CGGAGGAAGGGGGAGCAGCGAATACCGCCAGGGGAGGGGATGGGTGCGGAGGTGATGTGAGAGACAAAGGGATGGATGGATCGGGGTGGGTGGGAGAGAGAGGCGGCGGCGGGATGGGGAAGGAGAGGGCGGCGACGGGGGGCCGTCGTCATCGATCTGGATCAGGGAGACGGGGAGAGAGAGGCGGCAGCGGGTGTGTTCTGGGGGAGAGAGAGGCGGCCTCGGGCTGCTAGGGTTTGGGTTGGCTACAACGGGGTGAGAGGCGTCGGAGGCGTTGGATCTGTTGGATATGGACGGTTCAGATCAGCTATAATGGGGTGATCCATGAGAAGAGTTGTGATTTGTTCGAAAAATCATTGATTTAAAATAGTTTTCAAGTCCTAAAAAGAGAAGGATTTTGCGAAGCAACTATCAAAAATATTTTAGAAAAGGGCACCACACAAATTTTCACTAAAGTTAGACCACATTTTATGGATGAGCACCAATTTGTATGCATTTTTTATCTTTCTAGCTATTTTTAATGATTTTTCAAGTGCCCAAAATGAGTTTTTTTGTGAAGAACCTATAATATATTTGTTGCAAAATTGTACCAAATAAATTTTCTAAAATACTAGGACATATTTAATGCACAATTGACCAAATTGTTGGGTGTAAAAAGTTTTGATCCACCTCTCGTGAAAAAGACAAATTTCCGCCGATTCAGTTGGAAGCAGGTCAAATTTGAACTGTAGCTACCTCGTAGTTTGCTATTTATTTTTTCCAAGAAATCATTTCTAGGTACATAAGTATCTATTTAATCAGAGAAACATCAAAAATGTTCCAAGATTCAACCACTAGCTAGGAACGGTCAAACCCGCCGTTTTGACCGTGTTTTGAAACGGGCATAAAAAATTCAAAAAAATCAAAAAATTGAAAAACCTTCGCATTGTGTCATCATATGTGACCAAGTTTCCTGGAAAAATAATAAACTTGTAATACGGAAATTATTTTTAAAAAGTGTTCTCAGAAATGAGCTATCATGCGTGAAGATTCTTGGCTTTCAAGACAAATGATCAATCTTATGGCCACATTCATGGCATAGTTTGTTCAAATGATCTCATATTCTGCACAAGGGTGCATCTTGGAATTCCAAACAATGGTGCCTAAGGGATTTTTCACTTTCATTGCACAAAAGAGCCATTTTCCATTTTTTGAGTGCCCCAAATGAGGTTTTTTTGTGAAGGATCTACCAAATAATTATTGCAAAATTGGACCAAATCATTTTTCTAAAATACTAGGCCATATTTAATGCACAATTGACCAAATGGTTGGGTGTAAAAAGTTTTGATCCACCTCTGGTGAAAAAGACAAATTCCCGCCGATTCAGTTAGAAGCGGGTAAAATTTGAACTGCAACTGCCTCATAGTTTGCTATTTATTTTTTCCAAAAATCATTTCTAGGTACATAAGTATCTATTTAATCAGAGAAACATCAAAAGTTTTAAAACATTCAACCACTAGCTAGGAACGGTCAAGCCCGCCGTTTTGACCGCATATTGAAACGGGCGTAAAAAATTAAAAAAAATTAAAATATTGGAAAACATTCACATTGTGTCATTATATGTGACCAAGTTTCCAGGAAAAATAATAAACTTGTAATACGGAAATTATTTTAAAGAAGTGTTCTCAGAAATGAGCTATCATGCGTGAAGATTCATGGCTTTCAAGCCAAATGATCAATCTTATGGCCACATTCATGGCATAGTTTGTTCAAATGATCTCATATTTTGCACAAGGGTACATCTTGGAATGGCAAACAATGTTGCCTAAGGAAGTTTTCATTTTCTTTGCACGGAAAATTCATTTTCCATTTTCTGAGTGCCTAAAATAAGTTTTTTATGAAGGACCAAATCAATTTGTAGCAAAATTGGACCAAATCAATTTTATAAAATACTAGGCCATATTTAATGCACAATTGAAAAAATGGTTGGGTGTCAAAAGTTTTGATCCACCTCTGGTGAAAAAGACAAATTCCCGCCAATTCAGTTGGAAGCGGCTCAAATTTGAACTGCAGTTGCCTCATAGTTTGCTATTTTTTTTCCAAAAATCATTTCTAGTTACATAAGTACCTATTTAATCATAAATACATGGTTTGGTGGCGATACGTCGAGGTTTGGACGGTGGCCGAGGGCCCCAACTCTAGAGCGCGTAAACTCGCATGCCCGCCGCGTGGTCACCGCGTGACCGTGGCGTTGCCATGTGTTCTGGTCTGCCTAGGCATCTCTAATGGGTTGGACACTCCCCAGGTAGGTGCTAGGAAGAAAATCGCAACATAACATTTTCATGAGGAGACCGATCGATGCTCAAACATGAATAAACAGCCAACTATTTGATTAGCGGTACGGGAAATGCACATGGCTAATGGGTGTGAGTTTTGGCTGAGGATGATCAATTACTAAGAAGATCGTCTTCACAAAATTTCAGCTCAAAAGGAGGAGCCTAGGTGGTACTTGCTTTGCAAACTACCACACTGGACATAAATACGAATGTTGAAGCCGGGCTCAAAATAATGAATGGATCGAGCTGGCATTTGGTGGAGGATGGTTATTTGGGTAGAGGAAAGCACTGTAGAAAATGGATACCATTTGGACATGCCAAAGTGGTACTTCCTTCACAAAGTGTTTTTCTGAACAGAATAAGAAAATGAATATTTTTGAATTATTTTTGAACTACGCAAGGAAGGTTTTTTACATATTTGACGAAGATATGACCTAAAGAATTTATGAGATTTTTTTGGGAATTTTGGGAATGACAAAAATATAGGTTGCTTCACAACCTAGGGCAAAAACTGCCACATGGACACGACACATAGGCAAAATTGATGAGGTGGCGCCTAGTCATAGCAACCCACCCCAATTTACAAGGTTATGACCATCTATATTGGTCATGATCAGCTGGAAATAGGGCAGCGGACCTGTGTTATCTGCTTTATGACCATTTCGTGTAAGGAAATTACGACCTTTCTGACCAAAATGGTCGTTATTGTTTAGGGTTTGGAGCCCCCCGAACAGCTTTTGACCAATTGGTCTGAAATGGTCATAGATCTATGACCAATTCTTCCAGGGTCACTGACAGAAGGTCACTAGTTGACATATTTCTTGTAGTGAGGGTGAGTCTACAGTGTAGCCCGTCACCCCCGAATCCTGGGCTTGGCGTGGCCACAGTGCCCCGTACAGGCGAAGATCTCTGCACGACGCAGCACTGTTGCCACTCCACCCTTGATGTCACCCCTGTCTGGCGGGCCCTGGTCCCACGACGGCCTGTCGGTACTACTCGCCGGCGGCAGGCCCTACTAGGCAGCGAGGGACCGGAGAGCGGCCTAGCTTGGCTAGTCAGTCCAAGGGGATTTGGCTCCTGGTGGGCAGCCGGATCCTTCCTCGAGGCCTGTGCACCATTAACCAGACTAGACACGGCCAGGCTACACTAATCTCCCACCAGGCGGCGGGACTATAGCCATGCCTTTCCCAACCAAGCCTGTGTCATTAGCATCACGGCTATAGTGATCAGCCACCAACCAGGTCCGCCAGTGGCGGAGGCGGCCTGTCGGCTCCGTACCAGACTGGTCGGCGGGGCCCACCAGGCGGCGGCCCCCAGCTGCCAGCGGAGAAGCCGGTGACCAGAGATGCTGACAGCCGGGTCCTACACCCGGCCAAGTTACCATTGTACCGCTGGGGGTAGGTCTATATAAACCCCCCAGTGCACCCATGCAAAGGGTTCCCAACCTGTTAGAACTGGACTCATATCTAGAGGAAGAAGAGAGCTAGCCCTGCCTCCTTCAACCTCTAGCATACAGCTCGAGGAGCACCATTGTACTCACTAGTGCCTTAGTGATCATGCAGAGACCCCGCAGAGCAGGACTAGGGGTGTTATCTCCTAGGAGAGCCCCGAACCTAGGTAAAGTGTGCCGGTGTTCGTGTCTACGCCTCATCCCGCTTCCAGGCACCGGTGATGTTCTACTCGCTCCCACCATGATAAGCCATCCTTTGACATATGTCGCACCCAACCCCCAACAATTGGCGCCCACCATGGGGCGAGGTGCACCGTCATCCGGAGATCTGTGCTGGACGGGAACCTTGTTCCTTCCTGGCGAGCGCAGCCAGCCCAGCACGCCCGACGGCATCAGCTTCGACGCGCTGCACAACGCGGAGATCGCCTGTGCAGCGAGCTGCCTCCCGACCTTGTTGGCGAGATCCACCTCTCCGACGAGCCTACATTCGACGCGGGCACCGGCTGCCCCGAGAGCCGCCTCGTCAGCCTCCTCAACCAGCTTCACGTCGCTAGCGAGCCTGCTTTGGACAAGGAGTGTGTTCGCTCCATCGACCCGATGATCGTAGACTCCGACATGGAGTCGCTTGACGCGTTCCCCACCAATGTGGTGGTCTATGATGAGCCGCCTCCTCGCGAGCACAGTGGCAGGAGCACCGTCACGGAGGTTCTTGTCATCAATAGTGGCAAGCTCTCGGACGGATGCGTTCGAGACCCACTCGATGCGGCGCTGCGCGACTTGTCAGTGCCCATCTCGGAAGATGCAGATGCTGAGACACTAGAAGCACGCTGCGTCCAGCTCATCGAAAGTGCCAACCGACTAGCTAGCATGCGATGCCTCTCGGAAGCCTACCGGCGCGAGATGGACCGAGCCATCGGCGGCACACCGGCTCCTGAGGGGCCTAGCCGCATCGGCTTGATCCAGCAGCGTGGCGCGACCATCGCCAGCATGTTCGGCATGGATCGTCCTGTCTACACCATGCCTGCGGAGAATATACGAG